CCAGGGTAAAATCTGAAACCGGCCTCCTTGGTAGAGGGCAGGGAGAGACTGAAGACAGAGGCAGCCCTCCAGATTGGTCATGGCAGGTATAAGAAGCAACGGGACTTTCTTGGGTGGCAGCAAGATGAGTAGATCTCCACGCGTGCCCACCAGACTCTTAGAAGTTTACTCAGAGGCCTTCTCTGCACTGTCCAAGAGCCTCAGCACCACATTTCTATCGCAAGGCTGTATCCTTGGAGCAGCTTCTGGGAACAGGGAAGGCAAGTGGAAAGCATATTCCAGGGACAGGGGAGGGGAAGGGGAGCCTCCAGCTCAAGGGTCAACTGGCGGTAGCATCTTTTTGACGGCCTCCTTTAACCCCATATGTACCAGACATTCATTCATCCTTCCATGAGTGTGTATTGTTACCCGCTGTCACCAGTGACTTCACAATGCATAAAGCAGGCTTTAACGAATGTTGGTACTTCTTTCATCTAGGAAAAACTTGGTTTGGGAGTGGATTTTTCTGCCTACGTTTCAGTGGGAATGTGGCTCGTGTTCCAGGGACCAGCCTCGCACAAGTTGCTCTGGGCAGCTGTGACCTAGAAGGGGCTGAGAGCTTGCACATTCCTCTTTGAGACCTTTTCTTTCTCACCCTGGCCGCCTTCTCTCAGAGGTGCCCTCGAGATCAAGCCTTCCTCAGAGGTGGTTATGTGCTTGGTGTCAGGGAGCTTTTCTGATTGCGAAGGCAACGGGAAGCCAACGAAACTAAGGGAGGGTATGGAATAATAAAAGCACATAGCAAATTCCGACCCACTGAATCCCACAGTACCAAAAATGGAGCAACGACCCGTCATTTTGCAGGAAGGAATTGATACCCAGAGAGGGTGTGTGACCTGCCTGGAGCCACACAGCAAGTTAGGGACAGGGCTAAGTTTGGGACACAGATTTCCGGACTTGGGGTCCAATGTATATCCTCTTTACCCACAGAGGACGTGTTTATGGTCAGCGAACTCGAAAGCAGTTTTTGCTGTGCTTCATGTTCAGCGTGGAGGATTGGAAACAGAATGAGGCTGCCCAGTCAGCTTTACCTCTTGTCAAGCCCTACCTACTGCACACTCTGGGCAAGATGCCTCTGGTTAGGATGGTGCCGTCCCCAAAGCAGCCCGGAAAGGCCTGGCATTGAGGATGGACTCCATTCAAATGTATTCATCCATTCACTTATTCATTCACCCCCAGACACTTACTGAGCACCTGTTATGTGTTATGTACAAGGGTGGCTGCTGGACAGTTCATACTTGTCTGATCTCTCTTCTTCAGCAAGAAGGAGGACCTGAAATTCTTCCCAGGCTGGGCTGCTCAGAGCCAGGGTGTAGGGTGGAATTGTGGGGCTGGTCCTCAGCTGTGGCAACAGGTTTAGGAAATGTGGAATCTATGTTCCACTTGAGGGTGACCAGAGGGGCCATAGAGGGGCCATAGAGATCCGAATCAAGGAAACACCTTGGCTGGAGCTGAGAACCAGCTACAGGGCTCAGAGGTAGGGTTGGGGTGTTGGGGGGGATGGCACAGGAAGATGCCTGAAGGAGAGCAAATAGATGGGAGGTAACAGCTAAGGGCGCCAAGTGGGCTTTGATAGTACTTATCAGCCCTAACGAGTGAGTAGAGTACTTAAACATGGATTAGGAACACAGTGGTGCGTTATTTTTACTGTCCTCCTTAAAGAGAATGAGGGTGGAAAGGAGCAAAACCAAGGGATACTATAGACCAGTGCTCCCAACCCCCTTCCCCCTTTTTTATTTTGCTAAAAAACACATTAACTTTAAATTTACCATCTTAACCATTTTTAAGCACACAATTCAGTAGTTTTAAGTGTATTTACATAGCTGGGCAAGAGACCCTAGAACTCTTTCATTTTGCAACACTGAAACTCTACACTGGCTAAACACTAAATCCCCAGCCCTTGGTAATCACTTTTCTATGTTCTGTTTCTATGATTTTTGACTACTTTAGATACCTCATGTGAATAGAATCTTACAGTATTTGTCCTTTTTCCCAGCCCTTTAAAAAAATCTGTGTCCTGGCACTGTTCACAGGCGTGACAGCATCCTATTGGTAACATCTCCAATTATACACACAGACGCACACACACACACACACACACAACACACAACACACACGGGGGAGAGCAAAAGGGAGGGAAAGGTGGCAGCAAATGCTCACACAGCCAAGTCTTGGGTAGGGATACACGCAGAGTTGGAAAAAGCCCTCTAGAAATTCTGATACTCCCCAAGAGTATGCCCCCCTTGTTGAGACTCACTGTTGTGGACAGAAAAAGAGTTCTCCAAAGCATCGGATGCAGAGCAGGAGTCAGTCACAACATTTATTGAGCACTCATGGTGTACAGAGTACTGGGCAAAGCACTGGAAGGAAATACAGTGGGGATTCAACAGCTACTGTCGCTCGCCTCATGATTACATTTTAAGTGAATGGAGAACATACACACACGAACACGTATAAACTAATATCTAGACACATGCATTTCTTATTCACCACTGCAAGTTATCATGAGAGTTTACCGAAGTAACTAGGGCGTGAGAAGCCACTGGGATACATGGGCTAAGTAAAAATCAAAGATACATTTCAGTGCTCAGGTTCAAACTTACCACTCGGGTGATGAGTGGAAGCTACCAGAAGACACTAGAAAACACCAGAAACTTGGTGAATCTATTTTCTTAACTCTACTGGTCATTTTATTTCAAATTTAAGAATTCAGTTTACCATGAAATAAAGGCAATTGACTCAACAAAGTACTAGAATAGCTTTATGTTAAAAACATCTTTTTTTTTAAAGTAAAATCAGCCTATTGATAGTACCATTTCCAAAGGTCAGGCACAGATTCTGAAAGTTAATATCATTTTTCTTCTTTTTAAAGAAAGCTTCCATTATGTGAAAGACTTTCCAATAAATTTAGTGAACAGGGGCATTTTATTGCTCTATATTATATTTGGGAAAACTTGTTTATATTCTTACATGCTTTTAAAGTAGGGTTGCCAGATAAAATATAAGATATATTTTAGTGCATGGGACATACTCATACTAAAAAAAATTATTAATTGTTTATTTGAAATTAAAATTTATCCGGACATCCTGTATTTTATTTGCTAAATCTGGCAACCCTATTTTTAGGTTAACATACTTTTGGAATTTCCAAAGTTTTCCAATAAGGTGTGGGGAGCAAAGAGGCTAATTTAGCTTCATTTATATGCTAACACTGTCAGAGAGGAAGCCTTATTCTTCTGGCAGGAAAATGGTAGGTTTTGTAGGATTTACTCAAATATTGGAGACATCTTCATTTCTTACACCTTTTATCATTACTATTTTAGCAGTGCACGTTTTAGTCAGCTGAATTTTTACCTTGAAATTTTTGACAGAGATGACTGGTTAGAATTATTAAAATAAGATTGTAGTCTGAGGAATAGAAAAACTAACATCTGGCTTGAAAAGTCCCCTATAACATATGTTCACATCCTCAGTAATTTCTTCTCTGTTAACACTTTATCCCCCCAACCCACAAAAAAACAACAAATGTCAACCCTCACATCTTGTTAAATTATACAACGTCCCTTCCCCTATTCATGATCACTTCCTGCCACTCTCTGCCCCTCCCCTATCCATACTGATTTTTTTTTTGATAATTGAAAACACTAGCCCTTGTGCACCACAAAGAATGTCTGTCAGGCATGGATCGAGGGGTGCTCATGGACCCAAGAAAACAGGAAAAAGTAAAGCTCACCTCTCAGATGCTTGGAAGCATGAAAACTATGAAGGAAAGTGGTGGGGAGGGAAGGAGGAGGGCTGGTAGACTGGATTGACACATTCTGTTCTAGAAATGCACTTCCTTGTATCTAAACGTACAGTTCATGTCTTATTTTAAGTTGCGGTACGCGGGCCTCTCACTGTTGTGGCCTCTCCCGTTGCAGAGCACAGGCTCCGGACGCGCAGGCTCAGCGGCCATGGCTCACGGGCCCAGCCGCTCTGGGCATGTGGGATCTTCCTGGACCGGGGCACGAACCCGTGTCCCCTGCATCGGCAGGCGGACTCTCAACCACTGCGCCACCAGGGAAGCCCCCACTATTCTTTTTTTAAACACACCGAAGAGTATATATATATGTAAAGAATGTACTTCTCTGTTCATATTCCACATACACATAAAATTACTATGAACATTAACAAACACGTAGACTGTACTTAAAGGCATATACAGCCTTTGACTTTCAAAAGCTACTTGTCAATTGAGTCCAAGTATGTCAGTTTTTATTCTGGGCCTGACTCCACCTGTTTCCAGCTTGGCCAGGTGCACATAGGTTACAGCTCTCCTTGGTACCTTGAGGTCTTTCCAGAAAAGAGGACGAGTATGAGAAATTAAGTTGAGGCAAAGAAGCCACGGGGTTTCATATCACCATATAAAGGTGGAGTTAAGGAATATATATTATTAAAGTAGAAAAATATTTCTATGCCCCCTCTGGCATTTAACATTCCTTATGCTAAGACAGCATTCCATCCAGCTACTTGCCACATACTCTTTTCTTTTCAGAAATATAAGTTCCAAATTCCATCGTTTAGACAACTTTCCATATGCTGTTCTGATGACGACATAAACTTATGTCTCTGAATGCCCCTGACCGACCTCAAGGAGGACAAGTCAGGCTGTTCTTTTACTACAGAAAACGGCCGGAAGAGGTTTTGCTTTGGGTTCCCATTCGTGGTCATGATGAGGCGGGTGGCTACAGAATGTACGTGAAAGAGTGATGGACTCCCCAGGAGCAAAGTAGCCCCCCAAATTTTGCATCAGCAGAAGCAGCAGTGCACAGGAGGGTGTCCCTATGGGGAGTGAGAGCCCACTCTAAAGCCCCACTTCTAAAGCTCAGTAGGGTCCGCGTCCCAGTTTGAACACGTGCTTGGCAATTACATGTGCAGGAGGAGTCCTGTTGGACTCCTGTTAATGGCCTGCTGAGGTTTTTCTAATGGTGACTGGTATGGAAACTGCCTGCCTGGAGCTGCCTGGAAACCCAGTCCCGGCCCCGCCCTAGTCGTGTTCCCCTGGCACCCGGAGGAAGGATGCCAAGCAGACAAGGGATAGTTCCCACTGGGGATGGCGCCTCCCTGCTCCTTCACTTCCCGCTTTCTCTTCCTCCTGCTTTCTTTTTCCTCCTTCTCTGCTGCCTCCCTCGGTGCCCGCTCCATCCTTCGGCGCTGGCGGCCAGGGCACAGCTCACGGGGGCGGGGCAGAGGCGCTCGCGTGGCTGTACGAGCGCCTGGACAGAGAGGCCCGGGTGGTCCTGCTTTCCACCTCCTCCCCCGCCTCTCCTCTCGCTCCTGAGGGACCAGGGCTGGGGCAGCAGGGGAACGTGGCCATGAAGCCGAGGCGGAACCGCTGGTTCATGAAGCAGTAGATGATGGGGTTGACGCAGGAGGAGGTGTAGGAGAGCAAGAGGATGAAGGAGATGGGGGTCCCGGAGAGGCGGCGCTCGGCAGAGGCGGTGTCAAAAGCCCGCCAGGCGTTGGCGCTGAAGATGGGCATCCAGCAGAGGAAGAAGAGAACCACGATGACCATGAGCATGCGGATCACCCGCTTCTTGGCCACCAGGTTGGCCGCGGGGCTGCTGCTCCTGATGCGGCTGAACCTGCCGCCGCCGCTGCTGGACAGCTGCCGCAGCTCCAGCTTCCCTGGGTGCTTGGACCTCTGCAGGTAACACCCATCGCTGGCCTCGTATCTGCCGCTGCTGCCGGGGCTCGGCTTCCTTTCTGGATGGGCAAGGGACAACACTTATTTTTCGGGATGGGTCATGCCAGACGGAAGGCATGGAACCCCTGCCCCCTGCATCAAGGGGCTAAACCACACTTGAACTGTCCTATTGGGCAGGCGACCTCGGGCCTGCCTTGACATGGGTAGGTATTGTTTACACTAGTCCTTTCCTTCAAATGAAAAGCTACTTAAAACTACTAAAATATTTTCTCCCATTCTGAGGGCTGTCTTTTGGTCTTGTTTATGGTTTCCTTTGCTGTGCAAAAGCTTTGAAGTTTCATTAGGTCCCATTTGTTTATTTTTGTTTTTATCTCCATTACTCTAGGAGATGGGTCAAGAAGGATCTTGCTGTGATTTATGTCATAGAGTGTTCTGCCTATGTTTTCCTCTAAGAGTTTGATAGTTTCTGGCCTTACATTTAGGTCTTTAATCCATTTTGAGCTTATTTTTGTGTATGGTGTTAGGGAGTGATCTAATCTCATACTTTTACATGTACCTGTCCAGTTTTCCCAGCACCACTTATTGAAGAGGCTGTCCTTTCTCCACTGTACGTTCCTGCCACCTTTATCAAAGATAAGGTGACCATATGTGCATGGGTTTATCTCTGGGCTTTCTATCCTATTCCATTGATCTATCTTTCTGTTTTTGTGCCAGTACCATACTGTCTTGATTACTGTAGCTTTGTAGTATAGTCTGAAGTCAGGCAGCCTGATTCCTCCAGCTCCATTTTTTGTTCTCAAGATTGCTTTGGCTATTCGGGGTCTTTTGTGTTTCCATACAAATTGTGAAATTTTTTGTTCTAGTTCTGTGAAAAATGCCAGTGGTAGTTTGATAGGGATTGCATTGAACTGTCTGGAGGGGTGGGATAGGGAGGGTGGGAGGGAGGGAGACAAAGAGGGAAGAGATATGGGAACATATATATATGTATAACTGACTCACTCTGTTATAACGCAGAAACTAACACACCATTGTAAAGCAATTATACCCCAATAAAGATGTTAAAAAAAAAAAAAAAGAAAAGTATAGGTTCTAGAAATTTTAAATATATATACATATGCATGCAAAAAAAAAACTACTAAAATAATGTATAGTATCTGATGTACATAATTTATGATAATAAAATAATATTTTACATATGCAGATTATAAGGCTAAAGGACTGTTCAAGAATGAGTAGGCACACTCTCCTTTCAGCTCCTCAGGGGGAATTTTCCTGCTTGCTTGGGAAAACTCCAGACTGCTTTTACTGTGAGGACTCTGCATAATGAGCAAAAACCAAAGAACTTGAAGTTGTATAAGTGGTAAAGAGCTGAGTAAAGGGGTGGAGTGAGAAGTGGGGGAGCGAGTGATACCAACAAAGGTGTCGGGTAAGTTTCTCGGGCGAGTGGACTATAACGAAAGGGGGGGACGGGAGGCTCTGTGGCAGCTACAACAGGAGTGAAGGGGAGAAGAGAGGATGGCGCCTGGAATTACAATTTGCTTTGGTTGTGGAAGGGGGTCCATTTGAATGCAACAGCACAGAGAGCCTGGGACCCATGGGCCCTCAGCTTGTAATTGGGCGATGTGTGTATTATGTCATCTTATTCCACTTAGCACCCTTTTGAGAGGACTAATTTCTTCATTTTACAGGTGAGGAATAGAGACACTGGGTCTCATGACTGTGCCTTAGGACACAGAGTCTCCTAAGAAGACTTTTGAAAGCCTCTAATATACCCTATACACACTCTGGGTATATGCATTTAAGTTACAGAAAATAAGCTTTTGTAATCTTTTGGCATAAACATACAGCTAAGAGATAGTTACCTCTAGCAGACTTCTTCTGGCTAGCATCAAATTTTATTCCCTGGTAAAGTTCCAGAGAGATTAATCCATATGCCACCATCATCACAATTCCAGGAATAAGAAAGAGGATGAGTAACAGGAAGGTGTGCCTAATAAAATAAAAAGCAATCCAATAACCAGCATCTCTAGCATTTCAAACGCAGATGGGATGGAATAAGCAGGGTTCATCTCCATTTTAACGAGTCTGAGGAAACACATTAATTACTAGTATTTAATATCTTTGGAAATTCCCCATCTGGAGAGTCAGTCATTAGAAGTTGTTTTCTTCTTTTCTTTCAGATAAAGTCTCTTATGAAGGACTAGTTAAATTGGAAAAGTTTGGTGTAAGTCTGTGCCTGAAACAAGTCTACATTTAAAACAAATGAGAGCTTAAAAAAGAAAAAAAAATCAAGCCAATGAGAGTAGGTGAATGCCTCAATAAAACGGTTTCTGAAATAATAATAATAAGAGCTTACATTATTGAATAACCAGAGCTTATTCAATTTCAATATAGTATATATATATTACTATATCTAATTCCCATAATAACTTTTGAGGTAGGTACTATTAACATAATACCCATTTTACAAATGAGGAAACAGACTTAGAGACAATAAACAGTTTGTCAAAGTTACACAGCTCGTGGCAAAGGTGAGATCTTAAGCCGAGCAATATGATTCTAGAACTCATGCTCTTAAACATCACAATATACCATTTGTTGACTTTATAGCAACAGAATCGTCTAATGCATAGGTAGCAATGATGGAAAACCTCCTTGGTTTTGCAAAATAAGCATTCTGGCTGTCCTGACCCATTGGCACAGTGGCAAGCTCTTTCTAGTGCCTGGGGGGCCAGAGCTATGCTTTCTCTAAATATGTTTGATTCCTGAAGAATTGCAGCCTCCTTCTTTATGAGTCTGGCCCCTAAATCACTTTTGCAGTCTGGCATGTGTAAGATTACGCGATTAGGCCATAAAATTGTCAGAGGCTCACGGTGGCTGAGCCATTTCTCATTTCAATTGGACATGTTTTGATAAGAGTTCTTTTCGAGTCTTGGAAAAGTCCCTTATTTGCAACATAACTCTTTTTGTGTGTACGCGTTACTTGGTTGAAATGAAAAAAAGGAAGGCAAAGAAAGCAGAGATTATCTCAGTTTTGAGCTATTTTTTTAAAAAATCCTTGTCTGAAGTTTCCAACATCTGTGTTATTTAGGGTTGGTTTCTATTGCCAGTTTTTTTCTATGTACAGCTCATGTTTTCCCATTTATTCCCGTGTCTAATGCTTTGTTTAAAAATTTTATTTATTTATTTTTGGTTGTGTTGGGTCTTCGTTTCTGTGCAAGGGCTTTCTCTAGTTGCGGCAAGAGGGGGCCACTCTTCATCGCGGTGCACGGGCCTCTCATTACGGGGGCCTCTCTTGTTGCGGAGCACAGGCTCCAGACGCGCAGGCTCAGTAGTCATGGCTCACGGGCCCAGTTGCTCCGCAGCATGTGGGATCTTCCCAGACCAGGTGCTCGAACCCGTGTGCCCTGCATTGGCAGGCAGACTCTCAACCACTGCGCCACCAGGGAAGCCCTTGAGCCATTTGTTTTTTGCGGTACGCGGGCCTCTCACTGTTGTGGCCTCTCCCGTTGCGGAGCACAGGCTCCGGACGCGCAGGCCCAGTGGCCATGGCTCACGGGCCCAGCCGCTCTGCGGCATGTGGGATCCTCCCTGACCGGGGCACGAACCCGTGTCCCCTGCATCGGCAGGCGGACTCCCAACCACTGCGCCACCAGGGAAGCCCCTTGAGCCATTTTTAAAAGTCTGGCTCCCTGCTTCTAAAACATGCTGGGAACTGGTAAACATAATGTCCTGCATTTGTGTAGCCTTTTTAAAGATATTTAGTGACATTTTCATAAACATGCTCTCATTTGAATCTCACATCCATCTAATGAGGTAGATAAAAAAATATCTTTATTCTTAAATCTTTGTGTAGATAAAGAACTTGAACGTCAGGGAGGTTATATGAACATGTCCAATATCACCCACTAGTAAGCAAAGAAACAGGTACTAGAACCTTGCCTTTTTATTTCCAGTACAGTGTCCCGTGCAAATACTGCAGCTGCAGCTCTAAGAAAATCCACGTGGGATTTGGAACTCATCCTCGGCTCTACCTCCAGTTCTTGGAAAATCAGAGCTCTTCCAGAAGCACACTGCATAGTGGTTAAGACCAGATGCTCTCTTATCTCTTCTAGGTTTGGGACCTTGAGCGACTTGCTTAACCTCTCCATGTCTCAGTTTCCTCTGTAAAATGGGGACAATAATAGTACCCACCCTATAGGGTTTTGAGAGGATTAGTTGAATTTCTATATATATGGCATTTAAAACACAGCACTCTAAGTGTTTGCTGTCACTGTTACTCTAGAAAGAGGTTAGAGTGAAACTTGTCGATAAGTCTCCAGGAGACTGACCCCCCCAGACACTGGACAATACATTCCAGTTTTTATTAAACCTGCAAAATTATATCGAGTTGTATTAAACAAATAAACCCATGCAGCCTTACCAGGACTGCTGCATGGCATCATTCGGCAGTAGAAAGCGGCACATGTTCGCGGTCTGATTGTTATTTTTGGTAAAAGGCACCAAGTTGCTATAAATCGGGTACGGAGTCATGATGGTAAAGGAGAGGCACCAGGTAGCGGCAATCACCTTCAAAGCGTGGGATTTTGTCTGCCAGACGCGGGACTGTAAGGGTTTGCAAATTGCACCATATCTCTCCAGCGATATGGCTACCAGATTAAAGGTGGAGACGCTCACAGAGGTGCCTGGAAAAGGAACAAAGAAGCTGGTTATGCAGGCTCTGAAATCCAAAGTTTATTTGCACAATGAGCTTAAGCATACCCGATCTGCGCAGCTTTGATAGATAGCAGAGGAAAACGCTCAGAGGGTAAGAATATTGTGTATGTATATCTAAAAAAAAATGACTTATTCCCAGCTTTGTTCCCAAAACTATTTGAGGCAGGTAAAGAAATGTGTTTGCAAATACATATTATTGCCAATTTTTAGATAAGTTTATTGAACTTTGATTACAACCAACTCCTTCCTAGGCTGAAGGCGCTCATTAATTAATAACCAAGTGGATGAAATATGTTCCTATCCCACAGAAGAGGTTTCTGAGTGACCTGTAGAATAGCTTTAGTTTTGAGCATGATCTGCATAGTTAAGTTGACCTTTTAACCCAATATTCTCAAGGACTGTGACCCTGAAAATTCAGTGGGGTCCGAGCTGAGAGCATTAAAACTCTTCCTGAAAATTTCTAGTACAGACTCTTTTTTAAAGATTTTTTTGATGTGGACCATTTTTAAAGTATTTATTGAATTTGTTACACTATTGCTTCTGTTTCATGTTTTGGTTTTTTGGTCACAAGGTATGTGGGATCTTCGCTCCCTGACCAGGGATCAAACCCACACCCCCTGCATTGGAAGGGGAAACCTTAACCACTGGACCACCAGGGAAGTCCCCAAACTGTTTTTAAGAGTGAAACATTCTAAGTTTCAAAATGGAGTGTTGAAAAATTACCTAGTGAAAAAGGAAGAAGGGGAAACTCTCCATATTATAACTAACGTTTTTCTCTGGGTGGAAGGACTAGTGCCTTTTTTCTCATTCTCTTTGCTTCCTGTATTTTGTAAAAGGAACATGCATCATCAGCGAGAAAGACGTCAAAACACCTCATTCAAAAGGATATACTTACGCATAGTCAAAAAAGCTTAATTTGCCTTATTTTTTGTATTTTGTGTGTGTACATACTTATTATAATCTCTTATCCCCTTAAAATTCCCTTTAATTCATCATCCATAAATTCAACTGAGTCTTCTCTTATCTCTTACCATGATGGAGGAGTTCTTAGCCTGAGGCCTTCTGTGAAACGATGTATAAAAATGTTCTTTTTCTAGGGAGAATATCCATAGTATTCCTGAGAGACTTGAAGGAATCTACAACCCTGAAACCATTCTATAAGAACTTATGTTCTGAGACAGGATTTGCTGTGTTTTGTAGGACTTTAAGGAGTTGATGACATCTGAATTAGAGGGTACAGCCCCAAAGTCCTCAGAGTCAAGTCTGTACAATGGGCCCACTGTACTTATAAACCCACCAGCAGGCAAGCACTCTTTTTTTTTTTTGGCTATGTATTAGGAGTTTAATGAGTGTTAACTATTAGAAACAGTATTGAGGAGAACATAAAATTAAGGGAAGAATTGAAATCACTGGAATCAGAAATCCAACAAAACCATTATGGTATTGCAAACACTTTCAGAATTATCTTGCTTTTCATTTTCTAGAACAGTCTGTCCTAGAAATTTTCAGGAAGAGTTTTAAGGCTCCTAGCTCAGACCCCAGCTATTTTAAAACATTTTTGGTTGAGGTGAAACTTACATGACATAAACTTAATCATTTTAAAGTGAACAGTTCTGTGGCATTTAGCACATTCACAATGTTGTGCAACTACACAAGCACTCTTTTTAAATCTCCTTCCACAAACCCTGGTTAAGATTATTAAATATTATCATAAGATATATACAGACAGGTCTTGAAAGCCTAAAGCACTATGAGATGTTGGTTATTATTATTGCGTCATTGTTTAACAATGATCCTTTTCATTTGTGAGTCGAGGACTGGACCCAGATTGACACTTTCTTGGCTATTTGTCCATGTCACGCAGATCAGTTATTCATCATCATTTTGTCACTGCTGGATCCTGCTTCCTCAATTGGGAGAAATAAAGGCTTTTAAAGCTTTCCGGTCATTGAAGGCTGCCCTAGCCCAACTCAGCTCTGCATATTTTGCACGGCTTAGGTCAGAACAGACAACAGCTCCTTCCTCATTCCCCGCCTCGCCTCCTCCTCTCTCAGCTAATTCTCAGAATGGGCAAGGGACAAAGCATTTTGGCAGACAGAGGGGACAAAGAGACATGTTTTGTTTCCGCCTTAGAAGAGCCACAACAGTTGGCAAAGCGAGGTCATGTACTCACCACTGTTGTGGCTACCGATCTGGGTTCAAGTCAGCTCTGTAGCTTACCACCTGTGTGTCCTTGGGCACATTATTAACCTCTCTGTGCCTCTGTTCCCTCCTCAGTGAAACAGGGAAGGATAACTGTATATTCTTTATAGGGTGGTTGGGAGATAAAATATGATCATGGAAGTAAAAACTCAAAGCAATTAGGAGAATATCTGGTGCTCAAAAAAATGCATTCAAAAATATTAGCTCTTGTGACTTTTATTATCATCACCATCATTTTGATTGGCAAAGGCAGAGAGCTGCATATCTCAGCCAACCAGTGTCAGCTTAGTGACCCACAGGCTCTAGGAGCAAATTCAATTCCTCGTCTAGTGGCAGAGGTCTCTCTCTCTCTCTCTCTCTCTCTGTGCCTGAGATGGTCCCAGACCCTGGGAAAACAGTCTGGGAAGTGAATCCTGAGAAGGGAATCTAGACCTCTGATGAACTGGTTTTCAAATAGTCCCTGTTCCCTAGGAAAGCCAGAGCAACGGCAGAAAGAGCCCTCTTCCAGCACCCTGGCCACCCCAAAAGCCGTGCCTTGGGTTGGGTAGAGCTCAGAATACAATCAACGACCTCCAGGAAGGAACAGAACAGCTTGCATCTGTCTTACTTTCTAACAGAAGCAAGCAAAACCAGCCTCTTCTGTGGCTTCTTACCAACTTATCCCACTTTGAGAAACTGACCCCTAAAACTGGGGACTGACTTCTGGGGAGTTATGAGGACTGACCCCCCCATAAAGCCAGCTCCTCTGTCCTTACACCTAGCCCCACACAGCCAGATGTTTTGTTTTGGCTGTTAGGGGTTGGGGAAGGTCTGGGGCTGAGCAGGGTCTGGGGCGAGCTCCAGAAATAGGCACCAGCAGCAACTCACCCATGAAGTAGGTGGTGGTCTTGCAGACAGCGCTCCCAAAGATGAAATCCTTGAGCAGGTTGGGGATGAGGTTGAACGGCATGCAGAAGAGGCAGAGCATGAGGTCACTGACAGCCAGGGAGAGCAGGAAGATGTTGGTGACCGTTCTCATCCTCTTGTTCCGAATCAGCACCGTAATGACCAGCGTGTTTCCCAGCACACTGAGCAGGAATATCAGGGAGTACAAGAGAATCTGCACGGCTGGCTGCCACTCTGAGAGGAGGAACGCGGACGAGGGATGGAGGTTATGAGAGCAGAATGTTAAAACCTGGCACGCGCAGCAAACACTTATTTCCTGCCGATTTTTTTTTTTCAAGGACGGACATCATTGAACCCAGCTCTCCCTGTACTTAACAATATTTTGCAGAGACAAAGTGAGGAGAGCACAGAGTGATTCAGTTGCTTCTAAAAGGTTGGTCTGTTAAAGGATCACTCACTCAGGGAACCACTTTTTCTTAAGAACAAAGCTCCTCTAGTGAATAGTGATTGCTTTCTTTCCTAGCTGCTAAGCATTATTTCGCTATAATCACTTCACACCGATTTCCCCCCAAGAAAAGGCAACAGCTAGATTGTGACAGCACCTTTTCTGTGATGCTTGTAAGTTCAAGCTTTTACACTTGTCCTCGCTTCTGGCTCCACTTCAGGTCCTCCTCCCACTGCTTTTGTGCCCCCGAGTCCTGTACATTAATCCCAACTCTCCCCTGGGGAACAAGAAGAACATTGGACTCAATTCTGCTCTTTGATCTCTTATCCAAACTTCTGAACAGATGACTTTACCCAGCCTTGTCTCACAAGGACTTTGTTATATTTTCGCAGTCAGCCTTGCCTTTGCTCATTTCTTCCCCCAACTTAATAGTTTTCTGAATTAAAGTATCAGCCTCTGACACCTACCTTTGGAAGCATGGGGCTGATCCAAGCAGAAAAGCGTCTCGTTTTCGATCCCCAGTTTGCAGGGAGGCGTCGTGTTGCTTCCATTCAAGAGAAGGCTGTCCACATCCATCCTTGCTTTGCTGCTTTTCACCAAGCGCTGGCGAGCTGATGAACGGCTCACTCTCGGCTCATTCCTCTAATGACCGACTGGAGAGTTTCCCAAATGGAACCTGCCGTGGAGGGGCAAGGGAGTTGGGGGAGTGATTGCCAGGTGTGGGCTTCTGAAGCCATGCTTAAAGGCGACTGGAGTTCCACACACTCAGGCCAGCTGGGCAAGCATGTGCACTCCTGTCTTGGAAAGAGCTGCTGATGCAAGGCAAGCCTGCTCCACCTTCCAGGCCCACCCCATTCCTGGGCCAGCCATGGGGCCCTGAGCACGGACAGCCTGATTGTAACTTAACCCTTCCTGGAGTGTCGCTGCTTTTCCACACACATGCACACAGGTGTGGATACACACATACATGGACCCATTACCTCTCTTCTCTGTATAGGAAGCTGTCACCGTCCCAGACATAGGCAGAATAAAGCCCAAACTGGCCGTGTGAGACAGGAACAATTAACACAGTAACAGATACCATAATGCAGAGCATCAGGACTAAAGGACACGGAGGGACTGTGTTTCTACCTCCTTATATAAAAGCAGTTAGTGCCTTTTTAGCTTTGGACCCATGCCCAGCAGTGTGTGTGGATATAACTACCGGTTGTTAAGTTCTTACCAACCACAGGGTTATTTCTCTGTCCTTGGAAACTGAAAGAAGGGGTGTACTCTGATTATAGGTGCCTGGATTCTTATTACAGAAACACTTGAGTAAGATTTTCCATTCGTTCATTTATTCACTCATCCATTCATTCAGCACATGTTCGTTGAGAGTCAGCCATTTGCCAGGTACTTTTCTAAACACATAAGCAGATAATGAATAAGATTATTTCAGATGTGTAAAGCACCAGAGAGGAAGTCAAGCAGGAAGGCGTAATGGAGAGGAATGGATGGGGGTGCCAATTTAGGCAGGGTGGCCAGGAAGGGCCTCCCGCAGGAGGGGTCTATGATCAGAAAGCTAGATGGCAAGGAGGAGGAAAGCTTGTGCCGACCTGGAGGAAGCTGCTTCTAGGCAGCAGGAGCAGTCTGCTTGGCAGAGGTCACAGCGGGAGCAAAGGCCCTGAGGTGGGAATGAACTTGACCTGTTTGAGTTCAGGAATGAGGTGGGAGGTTAGGATAGAGAGGGGGACCTGGCCGGGAGCTCTGGGTTTTCTGTGAGGCTTTATGGTGCCGGAAAACTCCTCCAGCCCTATTGTGCACGTGCTCTCCTCAGTTGAGACCTTTGGGACAGCAGGTGACAGCAGAGGGCCCTGTGTTTCTCACATGTTGCTTGGCCCGGCTGAGACCTGGTCTAGACGCCTCTGGGACCCCTTGTGTTTTGACAGCTCTCTCAGTTGACAGAGCTACGTGTTATATATTTGCTGAATCCCTGCCGGACACAGATGAACTAATGGACATTTTCACCATCCAGGCTCAGTGGAGCTGGGAAGAGAGTGGTACCTCTGTTCTTTGAAACCATGAACAGCTCACGCTGAGGCACTTAGTCATAAGAACTAGAAATTCGAGGAATGCTGGAGAAGCTAACAGTAATTATTAAGAAGACAAGCTTTGGCATCAGACAGACCCAGGATCACATCCTGGCTTCACTGGTTACCTGCCGGGAAATACTGGGCAGGTTTCTTAACCTAAGGCTCATTTCCCTCTTCTGTCAAATGGGGACCAAAATGACCTCATAGATATTTGTTATGAAGATTGATTGCCTCAGGACAGTGCCTGACACAGAAAAAGTGTTCCATAAATCACAGATAATAATAACTATTATTATTATTTTCCTTTTACACACAAGGAAATTGACTCAGAGTGGCCATGTGGTTTGCTGGCGAGAACCAGCTGTGGATACCCCCTCACTGGCCGGCAGCCGCATCCTCACTCCCCTTCCTGCAGCACAGAGCTTTCTTCACTGTCCTAGTGTCCTGTAAGCCCGTTTGGAGCCAGGACCCGTGTCTCTGCCTGTCATTCCTGCCTCGGTTCCTGTTGGCTGAATCTTCTCAGTCTGCAGACTGATACGGACCCTGCCCACTAGGAGGGGACCCTGTGCAGTACTGTCCTGATTTGGAAAGGGATAAACATTCAGATTCTGAGCACTGGGTATAGCTAAATTTCACTGCACTGCTGTTCCCAGCAGCTGACTGCTTCAGCTGCTTTAAGTGGGCTGATATCACCATCCATAAAGGGTGCTTCCTAAGGACGTTCCTCAGGCCCTTCGGCTGCGCTCCAGCCACTGCAGGGAACCTGCTGCTCAGGGTCCAAGAGCAGAGGGGCAGAGGGCTGGTGTCCACCTGCCCTGAACTGAAATGGAGCCCAATTTGGAGCGTTTCTCCTCCCTTCCTTTCTTCCTCCCTCCCTCCCTTCCTTCCTTCTGTCCTCCCTTCCTTCCCTCCCTTCCTTCCTTCTGTCCTCCCTTCCTTCCTCCCTCCCTCCCTCCCTCCCTTCTTTCCTTCCTTCCTCCCTCCCTTCCTTCCTTCCTTCCTTTTTTCCTTTTACCCTTTCTTCCTCCTTTCCTGCCTTTCTATTCTGTTCTGTTCATCCATTGGCGGGAAGAAAGGGTGGAGTGCAGGAGAGTGGATCCTAGAAGTTTTGTAAACTCACAAGGAGTAACTATGGCACATTTGAGTGCTGTGCTTTACGAACTTTAGTGCAAATCTGATCACTCGGCTTAGTGGTTAAAAAATGGAGATTCCCAGGCTCCCTTCCCAAGGATCCTGATCCTTCAGCCCCAAGCCTGGGAATCTGCACTTTTATCCAGCATTCCTGGTGATTTGGAGGCCAGTGATCACAGGATTACCTCTCAGGAAGCTCCCTGGAAGCTGGTAAGTGTGTGAGAACAGGTGTCAGATGGCGGGAACCTAAGCCTGAACTTCACCCCAGCTGTGAACATGAACAAATTACTTGACTTTTCTGAGTCTCAGCTTGTTCATCTGTAAAACAGGCATCATATAGCACTACCTCTAAACAAAGCAACACATGGAAATCACCTCGAAAAATGCCTAGAACATAGGGCTGGACTCTAATTGTTATTATCAGTGGATAAGAGTAATCCTGGGAATGCTCTGTTTATCCCCGTTATCGTGGTCATGTTAAGGGTTTGTGTCTCCAGTACATCAGCACAGTGCCTGGCATACAGTATGTGCTTGGGGAATGGGAATAAATAAGGAGTAAAAAATCAGGAGAGCCAATATTGCATTGCTTATTCTATCCTTCTATATCTCTATTACATCGGTTCTCTTCCTGGTCAGCTCTGGATTTTTCAGTCTGACTTTCTGAGCCAGTGTTACCACACAGTTAAATTTAAAAAGAGAGAATTCCAGCAAGAGACATTAGGGCTTTCAAGGGGAGAGCTGATGCAGTTTTCAGGGCGTTAGCCTTTACTTCGTTCCTCAGCACATATTTATCGAATGCCTACTAAGTGCCAGGCAAGGTGCCAGGTGCTGGGGATAAGTCATGAACCAAGTGGATGGAATCCTGCCCTTGGGAAATTCTCCATGCACTGTGAGAGGCAGGCGATAAACAGATGGGGCAAAATAAAAGTAGCCTTCTCGGGCTTCCCTGGTGGCGCAGTGGTTGGGAGTCCCCCTGCCGATGCAGGGGACACGGGTTCGTGCCCCGGTCCGGGAAGATCGCACATGCTGCGGAGCGGCTGGGCCCGTGAGCCATGGCCGCTGAGCCTGCGCGTCCGGAGCCTGTGCTCCGCAACGGGAGAGGCCACAACAGTGAGAGGCCCCCGTACCGCAAACAAAACAAAACAAAACAAAACAAAAGTAGACTTCTCGCCTCGGAGCCCTACCTTCAGGCCCAGGAGAATTGATAAAAATTTACTAAACTGAGTTGAATTGGTTTAAGTGCCTCCCCTCTCTCCGAGACACAGAGTTTGGGTGTCTCCTGCAGTCCCCAAAGCCCTGTGGGTACTGAGGACATCTGGCAAACGCTCCCCTAAGGAAGACAGAACATGCGCAATCCTGATGGATCCCTGGATAAAGAAATTGGTAGCTGTTCCCCAAACCTTTCTCCATCTTAAGAAACAATTGTTCTAAAACACGTAAAAGATTTATTTGGATTTTTTCCTCATTATAACATGAATCATATGCTCATGATTCATGTTATGCAAATTTTTTTAAATAAAGAAAAACAGATAAGTAAAAATATTATACAAATACATTTCAGAGCCCCACATGATTTATCCTCAGAGAATCAGTCCAGAAGCCAGAGGTAGTTAACAGGTAATGGCATGTTGCAGGATTCCCAATTCTTAGGGCAGCCTGACATTTCTTCAAATGATCTTGCCTCCCCTCTGCAATTTCCCCCCTCTCTGCTGCTCAAAATGTCACTCTCTAAATTCCTTATTCCTCATTCTCTTTCTAAACTCACCCAGGCTGCTGCCTGCTAGGGTTTTTCTCTTTTCCTCCCTGTAACCATCTCAAATTTCTGGAAGAGCCTGACTGGGACTCCCCTCCCTCCTCACCCTGCACTGGCCACGTATGGGTTCCTCAGGAGGGTAGATGCACTGAGCCCTGCTGCCCTCAGAGGCTTGTGTGCAACCCCCTCTGAAGTCCTTCTCTCACTGGCTGCCCTTCTTGAGAAATCATATTGGATCCTTTCGGACAAGTGAAAAACCCCTCCTTGCTACAGAGGAGGGCAGACATCATGTCTGTGTCTGATAAGGCTGTCACTTAGCAAGTCATGGCTGAGTTTGGGCAGGTAGCTTTGCCTCGGTCTCCATTTCTTCACCTGTAAAATGGGTTAACAGAGGTAACACCTACCTCAGAGGACTGCTGGGATATTACATGTCACAGTGTGTGTAAAGCACACAGCAGAGTGGTTGGCATGCCATAAGGGCTTAGTAAATAACAATAATGATAGCAATAGTAATAGTAATAATAATAATAATATACCATGTTTCATGTTGATAGGAACATTAAAATCATCCTTAATACCACTGCCTCAAGATAGACGTTTGTTTGTTTGTTTTTAAACATCTTTATTGGAGTATAATTGCTTTACAATGGTGTGTTAGTTTCTGCTTTATAACAAAGTGAATCAGTTATACATATACATGTGTCCCCATATCTCTTCCCTCTTGCGTCTCCCTCCCTCCCACCCTCCCTATCCCACCCCTCTAGGTGGACACAAAGCACCGAGCTGATCTCCCTGTGCTATGCGGCTGCTTCCCACTAG